CGCCTATCTAGGTCTCCTCACCTGTAGACTGAGGAGGGTGAGTTACAACAACTGCAATATGGTTTCCAGTTTTTAAATACACTGCTATGTTGTTAAAGTAGCTCTGGTGGTGCAGAGGTTAAAGTATTCAGCTGCTAACCAAAAGCTTGGTGGTTCGAACCACCAGCTGCTCTGCAGAAGAATGTCTGCTTCTGTAATGATTTACAGTGCTGGAAACGTTCTGGGGCAGTCCTACTCTGACCCATAGGGTCCTTATGAGTTGGATTCAACTCGATGGCAGTGAGTTTTGGCTATGTTCTTATGGTTAGCTGCCGCTGATTTGGCTCTGACTCATAGCAACTTTGTGCCTAACAGATCGAAACGTTCCTTCTCCATCAAGCTCTCATTTTCTCACTTAAGAGTTAACATTGAATTGTCTTTAAAAATCAAATCCCCATAAAAACAGAAATAAACATCCTCCTCCTTATTCATGTCTTGGGGTTGGGTTTTGTGGGACACCCTCTCGCCCTCTTTCCCCCTGTGAGAGTTGATGACAGATGGTTTTGCCCAAAATAAAACATCCTCCCTCACCCCCTGCCATAAAGATGATGGAGTTGACCTCAGCCCAGAGACATTCACACAACCCAAAACTCCAATACTGGTAAAACTGTTTGTTTTGAGTGGGCGCCACCAAGGAAGAAAAATAGCAGAGACCGGTTTCTAGCACACCAGTGAGGCGAGCAGAATCTCGCCTTTCTTCTGGCAGAATGTGCTGACGGGAAGCCAGCAGGGAGTCATGGGACAAACAACGCCAGGGTCTAGATCACACTAGTGTCAGTGTGCACAGCTCGCAACCTTAACCTCTGTGGGTCAGGGCAGGGGAATAATGCCACACAAAGGTCCTCTGATGGTGGATGGCGATTAGATTTTGTTTATTTCTGACACCATGGCCAGTGCACAGCAAGGCAGTCTTACCCACCAAGGTCGGTGATACTGTCCAGAGCTGATACTCAATTAGAGGTCAAAGACAGAGTTTGTACACAGATAGAATGGCCCTGTCCTTTCTTAACAAAAGCTTGGAAATGGTGGTTCATACCCCAGCTCAGAGTCAAAGGCATCCTGAAGCAAAGGTCTTTAATATGGCTATCTTTAAATACCTACTCCTGTGAGGGCTGTGGGAGCTCTGGTAGCATAGTGCCTAAGGCACTTGACTGCTAATCAGGAGGCTGGCTGTTCAAATCCACCAGCCATTCCTCAGAAGAAAGGTTGGGCAATCAACTTCCATAGTGATACTGCCTCGGAAAACCAAGGATGGGTCGCTATGAGGCGGGTCTGACTCGATGGCATGTAACAACAACAAGATGAGGGCTATACTGAGGGTGAGCATTTTCCTATTTCACACATGGCCTTTTTAAGAGAGAAAATGAGAAGCATAAGAGGAAGAAATGAAAGGAAAGACAAATTGGATGGTGATGCAGAAAGATTCTTTGTGACTAGAATAAATGCCTTAAAAGAAAATCCTGAAATAACTAGCAGATACCATTTCCCTGAGCATTGCTAAATCTGGGTCATGTGAAACCTTGAGTAGGTATTAGTTATACGTGATGCATTGTGCTGGCTGGACTCTATGGCAACGTTCTCATCTTTTGTCTCCATCAGATAATGTGCCAAATTGTCTATTTAAAATAACTGACAAAAGAACGTCCGCCCACGCAGAGCTCCTGTATAGGTCCTTTCTCAAGTGAGTGAACCACTTTCCAGCAAGATGTCCTGGTGACCAAGGGCAGGGATGACCCAGAGTGATGGCTTTTCTGGGCCGTTGGGAGACATGTATTATGAGCTGTGAGCTGCTGAGAGGCATGGTCACCCCCTGTGTTGGTGAATGCACAGCAGAGCCATTTGCTGACAATGGAGGGATTTCCCGCACTTTTCTTCACATCCTCACTGTATTCCCCAGCTCCTCAGTTAGTGCCCAGTGCCTGCCTGAGATTACCACTGGCAAAGGCTTCTGACTCCCAGCTATAGCTGGTTTCCATGTTTCTCACTGAGATACTGAGGTGTTTTTACATGGTGGGCTGAAATCTAGCAAATGGATCTTTTGTTTATTACCTTTACAAACAGTGATCAACACTTTGGGTTTCTTTCATGCACTGGTGTCTTCCTTGGGATGGTTTCTGTAGAGTCCCTTGAATGTTGGAGAGCAGAGAACATTTCATTCCTCGGGGGTAAATGAAAGATGTTAAGAGCTTTATGTTTTAGGGACTATCTGCCCTTGATGGCAGCATATTCAAATTCAGTCTATGGTATGTTGTAATGTAGTGGTGACCTCCCTGTCAATGAAAGAGCCTAAGAAGAGCCAATCAAGTAAAATAAAAAGGTTTTTGGGGTTAGATGGTAGGTTGGTCTAAATAATACCAAAACTAAACCAAACTCACTGCCATCGAATCAGATCTGACTCATAGTGACCCCTGCTTGGGTTTCTAAGGCAGTATCATTATGGAAGGAGATTGCTCAATCATCCTTCCAAGGAGTGGCTGATGGGTTTGAACCTCCAGCCTTCTGGTCAGCAGTCAAATGCCTTAGACAGTCTGGAATTCTATGATACTTTTGGAACGATAATATTAGTATCATACAGGCTGGCAGGAGATTGGGGGGAGGGGAAGAAAAAGTCTAGAGTTCATTTTAAAGCTGTTGTTATTGTTATGTGCCATTGAGTTGGATGAGGCAGTATCATTACAGAAGTAGATTGCCTCATCTTCCTTCTGAGGAGTGGCTGGTGGGTTTGAACCACCAGCCTTTAGGTTAGCAGTCAAGTACCTTAGGCACTATGCTACCAGAGCTCCTTCATTTTAAAGTTAGAGGGAAGATAATTGCAATGCCTGCAAGATGACAATTGAAGAATAGGGATTGGCCAACAATCATGTTGTCTACAAATAAAATTTTAGTTCTTCCTTCCCAATCTGTATGCCTTTGCTTTCTTTTTTTCTTGCTTATTGTATTGATTAGGACTTCCAGTATAGTGTTAACTAGAAATAAGAGCATATTTCCTTGTCTTTGTCCTAATGTTAGAGGGAAAACATTTAGTCTTCCACTGCTAAAGATGGTGTTGTCTACAGCTTTTTGGTAAATGCTATTTTTGAGATTGAAAAAGTTCCCTTCTATTCCTAGTTTAGTGGAAATGTTTTTTAAGAATAGGTATTGAATTCCATCAAATGCCTTTTCTGCATCTGTTGAAATGACCGTATGATTCTTCTTAATTTGTTAATATGGTGAATTGCATTGATAGAATGATTAGAATTTTGGACCATATTCTGGCTAAATTACTTGCATATAAGATTGATTCTTTTGAAGTTTATAGTTAAGCTTTATTATGGCAGATCCATGGCAGCTTTAATTCTCTAGTTAATTTAGCCCCACTACAAAGACTAGGAGCTCTGGTAGCATAGTGGCTAAGACACTTGCCTGCTAACCAGACGGCTGGCAGTTCAAACCCACCAGCCACTCCTTGGAAGGAAGGTTGGGCAATCCTACTTCCGTAGTGATACTGCCTCGGAAACCCAAGGAGGGGTCGCTAT